TTTAAGTTTGTTTATTATTTCATAAAAAAATTAAATTTATATATACTAATATTTTTATATATTTAATATATAATTAAATATATTTTTAGTTTTAAATATATATAAAATGAAGATAGTAAAAAAAAATATATATATAATAATATATAAAAATAATTATCACATTAAATTTTAAAATTTCTACCTGTATAATAACCATCTAAAAAAATAAAATCTTTTAGTAAAAAATTTATAAACTTTCAAGCTTTATTTTTTCTTAATCTTAATTTAATTTATCTTTATTTAAAATATTGTATAATATAAATTAATATATATTAAAGAAAACTTAATTCTTCTTCATATTTTGGTTGTAATTCAATCCAATTTTATTTATTAGTCTCAAAATTCTTTAAATATTATTATAAATCAGGCAAAGCAATAGCAACAACTTCAAATAAAGGTTTCACAATAAAATCAATGAAACCAGTTTAACTTTTAGAAACATTAGTAGTATATCTATCACATAAATAAGCAATAGGTAATCCAAGTAATCTTTCTTCATCTCCCTTATTTTTTTTTTGTTATTTTATTTTTTTGATTTTTTGTATTTATTAATAATGTATGGCTTAAATTAATATATATATAAAAAAACTTAATTCCAAAATTCTGTCATAACCTTATTAGTCCATTAAAAGCATATTTTCCATTCTTTAATAGGATTACTAACATCAGCAGAATGTAATAAGCTTTCCATACAAATTTTTTTATCTTTACCATCTATTTCAAAATCTTTTTAATTTATAAAATTTAAAAAATAAAAATAAAAAAGATAATATAATAATTTATAATATTAAAAAGAAATAACAATATAAATATATATTAAAAATAAATTGTATATACTTGCATATATAAAATAATATTAATAAAAATATTTATTAAAACATAAATAATTATTAAAATAAAAATAAATATAAAATAGTATGTATTTTTAATTATAAAGATAATATATAATTTAAACATGAATTAAAAAAATTTAAATAATAATATATTATTAAATAAATATTATATGTATATATATATAAAAATTTATTAATATTTATACATAAAATATATATAAAAATAATTTTTTATATTTTTTTATCTAATTATATTATTTATATTTTTATTATTTTTTAATATTTAAATTTTTGTATTTTTTTTATTATACCTTAACTTAATCTTGATTTTAACATTGCAATATCAGAAAAATGTTTAGACATATCTGTAGCTAAAATCATACCAATTACTATTTCTCTAAATTATTTAAACTCTTCATTTTTAAAATGCTGAAATATGTTAACTTTTTCATTTAATACTAGTTAAAATAAACTACTTACATGATGATTTTCTAATACACTTATATCTTGTTTAAATATTTTTAATATAAAAAATAATAAAAAAAATCTTACCATTATATTTTAATGCTAAAATATTACTAGTATTTATAAGAAATACATTATTATATCCTCTATAAAAAATAAAAATATTTATAATAATATTAATATTAATATAAATTTAAATATATATATATAAATATATTTATATATATATATGTATAGAAATAAAAATATATATAATTATTTATTTTTATATATTTAATCTTTTTTATAGTTTTTTTTTTGTTATATAATATATATATATATATATAAAAAAAATTAAACTGATGATCATAATCATGGGCTGCTGCTGCAATATACATAGCAGCTTATTCTAATTTACTTAATTTTGCTATATAAGTAAATTTACATTTTTTCATAAAAAAATGAATAGTTTAAAGGACATCAAATGAATGCAATTTATTGTGATAAGGATTATTTTTATAACCATTTTAAATTCCTTTTGTAAATTATTTAAAAACATTCTAATCTATTCTTAATTCTTCTATTAGGTTATATTTATTAAACAAATAAATTAATAGTAAAGAAGTTTCATCGCCTTTTGTAATAAGTTCAAGTTTAAAACAATCAAAGTTTAATTCATCAACCTTAAAATTATAAATTAAATAGAAATAATTTTATAATATATATATATATATATATAAAAAGCTTTTAATATTTAAAAACTTTTAAATATGAATTATAAATATTATAAAATAAAATTATTTTTTATGCTATAATAAATAAATTAATCATTAAATAAAATAAATTTTAAAAATATATAAAAAAATGTGATTAAATAAATAATAAAAAATAAAAAAATATCTATATATATATATATATAAATATATATATATATATATATATATATATATATATATATATATATTACTTAATTACATTTTAAAATTCCTATAAAACATTTTAATTTATTAACTTTTTTAATATTAATGTCATTGCTTATTCATCAAAATTATTTTATTTTATGTTTGTATTTGTTCCTAATTAATTTGAATCTTTTTCATTTATTTATTGAACTTTTCCTATATTTACCCATTCCTAAGCCTTTATTTTATTGTGTTTATAAAAAATTTTATTATTATAAATTAAATACCTAACTTTCTTTATTTTAATCAAAAAATAATAATGGATCATATAATTTATTAGAGGCAATAATATCCATAGTCCATTAAATATCCTAAATAATATCAATAGAGTCAAAATAATCTTTAAACTCAACTAAAATTTCTAATATTCTTTCTGCTGGTGTTTTTACTACACTAGAAACTTTTATTTTTTGAAACTCTAAATCTTTTTAATTTATTTGTTATTAATATTAATTTAAAAATTATATATTTTTATATATACTTTTCTAATTAATAGAAAAATACGAAGAAATCTAAAAATTCCTCTTACAATAGATGCAATACTAGAAAATTAAGAACTTGAATCTGTAGATAAATCAATAACAACCAGTATTATACTAACAATTATTATAGTGAAATCTAATAATAACCATTTATCTGTAAAATAATGCTTTTTTTTTTCTATATTTAAAAATTTTATATATTTTTATTTTCAATAATAATATATACAACGAATCCTGATGAATACGAATTCAATAAAATTTCAATGAGAAATATCGCTAAAATACAAATTTCAACATTTAGTAAATATTCTTAAACTTAATCTGATTTATTTTTATCTTCTTCTAAATCTTCTACAGCAATATTTGTAAAAATTAAAGCAGTATAAGTAATAATTAGTAAAATAACAAAAAATTATGTAAATTTAGAGCGCAATATGTTTTTCAATTTTCTTCTTTTTGCACTTATTACACTTTACATATATATATAAATAAGTTAAAAAAAAATTAAATATATCTAACTTTTTTTTAAAAAAAATAATAATAATAACCTTTTTCTGAATTAAGAGTCTTGTTTCGCTTATTATTCAATTTAACTCTTTAGAAAAATTGGTTTTTTTAAAAAAATATTAAGTATATATTATTATAAATAATGTAAGAAAAATAAATATATATTTTTTTTTAATAGTTTATTATTTTAAATTAATTTTTTGTTTTTTATACATCATTATATTTAAGGTTCATTTAATCTTCATCTTCCGTATTTTTTTTTTTTTAACTTTCTTAAATATTATTCTTATCTTAATTATCTAAAGGGGTTAATTTTACATGATAACCTTTTCTTTATTAACTTTCTAAAAGTATTTAAATATTTTTTTAAGAATCATTATTTGCAGAAGAAGGTAAAATTTTTTATCCATTCTTTTTAATATTTATAAAAAATTTTAAATGTTAATAAAACTAATTCTTTGTTTATAAATAAAAATGTTTTACTTATGGATGAATTTAAGTTGACATATTTTTATTTAAAAAAATATATATTTATTTTTATTTTGTAATAAAGCTAATGATTATTAACAAATAAATTAATTTTAATAGATTAAATAAAAAAAATTATATAACTATAAAAATAAAATTATATAAGATTTTCTTTGGTCATATTTATTTTATAAGTTATAAAATAAAAACATTAAAAAAAAAAAATATATGAATAAGAATTTGTTTGATTATATGAATCTTAAAGTTTATAAAAAAATTAAAAAAAAAAAAATATTTAAAAAAAAAAAAAATTAAATATATATATATATATATATATATATATATATATGTATATATTTAAATTATTATTTTTTATACCTATTTAATCATTTTTTGAATTAGGTTAAATATATTTATTTTTTAATTTATTTTGCAATAAAATTATATACTTTAATATTGTTTATATTAAAATTTATTTAAATATTATATTTCAAATATTATTATTTTTAATCTCATATATTTATATTTAAAATACTTTAATTATATTTATATAATTTAAATGTAAAAATAAAAATAAAAAATTTTAAAATATTTTTAATATTAAAATTAATTATAACAATCAATATTATATAATAAATATTTTGTATAATAATTATTAAACATATATTAATTTAGTCATTAAAATCTAAAAAAATATTAGCTTTTAATATATTTATAATAAAAGAAGTTAATATTTATCATTATTTTAATTTATCAAATATAATTATTATTTGAAATTTTAAATATTTTTTTATTTTTCCAGATTAATTTCTTTACTTAATTTCAAATATTTTTTTTATTAAAAAATCTAATTATTTATTTTTAAAATTATAATTCTTAATTTTTACTAAATAATTTAAAACTTTATCAATATAATTACATTATTTTTAAAAAATTTTTACTAATTCCAATATTTATTTATATTTAATAATTTATTAACATCATATATTTACTATTTTTATTTACATAAATATTGTCAATTTTTTATATTTTTGTTTTTGTTACTTTAATATTTAATAAAATTAAATATTATATACTTTAATATATTAAAATAATTTTTATTTGTTTATTTTTTTTTTTATTTTTTAAAATATTATATAATATTATTTCTTTATTTTTTATTCATATATCTTGCCATTTTAAGATAAATATTATCGTTGATTGCTTAATTTTTACATTTAATAAATATTATTTATAAATTTTATTATTTATTTCCATTTATGAGAAATTAATACATATTGCGTGCGTTTAATTATGTAAAAAATATTTTTATTATCAAAATCATGAAATTAATTATAATTATAAACTTTTTATTCATTTTTTTAAAAAAACTGAATAAATAAATACAAAATTATGTATATTTGAAAATAAAATATTTAAAAAATTATTTTATAAATGATATAAATTCATAAATATTAGAGCATTATTATTTTTTATTTTAAACTAAATAAATATAATACATTTTTTATAAATTTGTTTTTGTATATTATTTCTAAATTATATTATATTTTTATAATAATTAAGTTTAAGTATATTCTATATTTTAACATAATCTTATTTTTTAAATATTTTGTATAGATATTATATAATGCTTTATATTTTTCTTCAAGATTTTACATTTATGTATTATTATAATAAATTATATGTTTTATTCATAAAAAAATTTATAATCAATAACAAAAAATTATAATTTTTAAAATACATTTCTTTTAAGTATTACATTAAATAACAAAAATACTAAATAATTATTTTAATTATATTTTAGTAATAATTTATTATAGTATTTATATTTTATTTATTTCTTTTAAATATGAAATAATCTTATTAAAAGAAAATTTCTTAATTTAAAATTATAATAACTTAATAAATTATTCTTTTTTCTTTTTTTCGAGAAATCAAATATTATTATTTTTGATATTTTTATTTTTATTTCTTTATAATACATTTTTAAAAATCTATAAAAAAAAAATATAATAAGGTTATAAATGCTTTTTACTAACTATTATTGTAATTGATTAAATTATTTTAAAAAATTTAAAAAAGCCTCAAATCAAATGATAAATAAAAATTCATTTTATTTATAAAAAAAGAAAGAAATCAAAATATTTATTTATTTAAAAAAAAAAAAAAATCCAAATAATTTTATAAATTTTTGTTAATAATAAAATAAAATAAAAAAAAAAGATATATATAATAACTATAAAAAAATAAAATAACAAAATGGATAGTAAAAATTACTGTGATTCCGAAGTAATAACTGAAAATCCAGACTCTGATCAAGAAAAGGAAATTGTAAAAGATCCAATTCGTGAAAAAAAGCTTCTACATAAGACAAAAACATTTAGAATTCATAAAGAAATATGGGAGGTTCTAAAAATAAGAAATTCTATTTATAATTTTATTTAAATAAAAAGACATCTGAAATTAATAAAAAACCTAAAAATTATGACTAAATAACTCTAAAAATATTAGAAATAGAAAATCCAGAATCTAAAAAAAACAAAGAGTTAACCCAAGAAGAGCTTTTTTAAAAAAACTTTTAAAAATTAAACGAAATATAATCTATATAATAAACAATAGGTATTTTTTTCTAAAAAATAAAATAAAACAAACAAAGATAAATAAATAAAACAAAAAAAAGGAAAAAATAATTAATAAGAATGGTTTAATATATTTCTTGAAAGTATGAAAAAATCAGAAATAAGTTATTTTTGTATCGAATATATAAAACGAGACGAAAATAAAAAGAAAATAATTTATCAAAGAAATCATTACTTAGTCCAACTAATAGATTTAATACCCATAACAGACTTAAAAAAAGACGGAAATTATTTAAAAAAAATACTCTAAAAAGGCACAGGAACAACCTACTGTTAAAAACAAGACGAAATAATATGTAAATTATATAAAGATTAATATATTTAAAGGAACAAAAATAAATAAAAAATAGATACATATAAGCTTACCCGAGGAAATGAAACAATAGATGAAAAAACAGATGAAGAAATAACAAAATTTAACGAAATTTAAGAAAACCACTATTCTAATTGCATATGGACAGTTATAAATTCAATGAGAGATTAAGAAATTTGTTAATGTGAAATAAATTAAGAAATAATGAAAATAGAAGAGAACGAGGAACACAAAAAGAAATTTAAAACCGAAGAAAATCCAAATAACGAAAACTATATTTTAGAAATTCACATAAAGAAACTTTTAGTTATCCAAAATGTATTCTCAGACGGTTCTGTAGTTAAAAAAATCTTAAAAAGGGGAATTGTTAATACTAGAATGGAAAAAATTTCGAGAGTTTATTTTAGTTTAAAGATCGAAGTCGATAAAAAAATCATATACGAAAGTGGAAATTGTGACAATATATAACTTAATTAAGAAAAAGATGAAAAATAAATTCAATTACTTGAAAATGAAAATTAATGTATGAAATTCTATATAGATGAATATAAAATCTCTAGACTTTTAAAAAGAATACTAAAAAAAATGAAAAAATAAGAAGAAGCAGTTATTGTTTGTAAAAACAATAAATTAATTACATATGGAGAGGATTGTAATATTATTAAAAACGCTTTTGGGGGTATTATACCAGAAACTCTTGTTTATTATGTTAAGGTTTATGATTTTACAGAAGGGAAAAATACATATACAATGACTATTGTAGAAAAAATATAATAGGCTTAAAGAAAAAAAAATATAGGAATATAACTTATTAAAGTAATCTTTTTTTTAATAAATAAATTTAACAAATATAAAAATAGGAAGAAAATTATAAAAAGGCATTAAAAACTTTTGAAAATATAAATGGATTTTTTGATTTGGGTAGATTTTTAGGATAGGATGCAATTGATGTTCATCCAGTAATAAAAAATTAATATATATATATATATTATTTATTTAATAATTTTTTTGACAAAAATATATCTTATAAACAAAAAAAGCATAAACTTTCTAGTTTATTAAACACAAGTCTGTGTAATATGAAATTATAATAATGGGATTAATTAATTACTACTTGTAATAAAATTATTGAAATAGAACCTAATAGTAGTAAAGCAATTTATAGAAAAGCTATAGGATTAAAAGAACAAAATGATTACGAAAGCGCTTTAAAATTAATAAATTAACATTTAAATTCTTAAAAATAATAAATTGAATAAATTTAACTCAATGAACTATTTAAGCTAAAGTAATAAATATCTAATCTACACGAAGAAAATTTAAAATAATAAAGAAAAAACTATTCTAAGATGTTTGCTTGAAAAAAAAATAGAAATTAAAATATATATATATATATATATATATTAATAAATATATATATATATTATATTTATTTATATATTTAATAATTTTTAATTTTTCTTTATTTAAACTAATAGAAAAATAAAAAATTCATCTTTATTTATTATATATAAATAATTAAAATATTCAAATAAAATCATCATCATCCAAAGAAACATTTTTATTAGAAACCATTTTATCTTTATCCATCATATAATCGTAATTTCTTTATTCTTTTTCGATTGCCCTTTTGGTTTATTCTTCTTTTTCTATTTTTTATTATTCCTTGAATTATTTAAACCTTTCTCTTTTTTCCTCCAAAAAATGTTTTTCTTTTAAATCTATTAAATCCGGAAAATCCTCAGTTTATGTTTTTATCAATGCCTTTACAACATCCTTATCTCTTGTTACATTTTTGATTATTTTCCTCAAATTTTCCTAATGAAATCCAATTGCACCAACTTCCATACCATTCGTTTTATTTAGATTATTCCAAGGAGTATATACAATATCTACTTTTTCTTTTTTTTTCCTTATATACTGTTTTCTTTTACTAATTAGCAACATTCCATTAATAATTTTTAGTCTATATTTTACCAATCTTCTTCTTTTTTAAACGCAAATATACATGAGCAGAACTTAAGTCATCTACGTGGAACCATATGTCTTCATCCCAACCATATTTTATTAAATCTTCATTTTCGTATTTATCTTTGCCCATATATATTATATGACCATCAGAACTTTCAAACCAAAAAACCATTTTTAAAATTTTAATTTTTTTATTATTAATTAATAAATTAAATATTGCAATTTTATAAAAAGAAAAAAAATATATATAACTATAAAATATTGAGTATAAATTTAAAATAAATTAATAATTTTACATAAAAAAATTTTATTTATTTATAAAAGAAAAGAATTTTTATAAATAATATAATATAATATAATAAGTTTAATTTTTTTTTCAAAATAAGCTAAAACCTTTTTTCTATTATTAAATAGAAAATGAATATAGTAAAAGAATTTCGTTTTTAATTATATCATTAATTTCAAGTAAACTAATTAAAATAACTAAATATTATTAGGCTTCTTAATACTAACTTTATTTTTTACTTTATTTAATTAAAAAAAATAATTAAAAAAATTAACAAATATATATATAAAAACATAATTATTTTTATATAATATTTATATTATATATATATATATATATATATATATATATATATATATATATATATATTATATTTATTAATATATACGCTTTATTAAAATATGTTTTAAAAAAATAAACAAAATTATCACGAACTCCAAATATTAAATTATTAGAAGCACTTTAACTTAATTATTTTTCTAATTCATTTACTTTTATTTTTAAATTTTTTATCTATTTTTTATTTTGATTATTATATTTTATTATTATTTAAATATATATACTTATTTTGTAAAGTTTTCTTCTAACTCTTCGTATTCTTCTATTTCTTCTTTTAAATGTTCTAAAGTTACTTTTTACTAATCCATTTCTTATTTCATTAAACTCACTTCAGCAGCATTTATAGGATTTTTTTCTTATAAAGAATAGAAAGAACTAAGATTTTTTCTTAAATCTTCATTTTCTATTTTTAATTCATTTAATTAATTTTAATTAACTTTTAATTTCTATTTTTTTATTTAATAATAATTTATTTAAAAAAAAAAAAAAACTTAATTTAAAGATTAAATTTAATTATCGTATTATTCTTAAATATCTTTATTAATTTTATTTTTACTAGAATTGTTTTATATTGTATTTTTCTCAATTTTAATATTTTATTAAGGTATATTTTTTTCTGAAATTTATTCATTAAAATCATAATCATCTAAACTGGAAAAAAAGTCTTCATCTTTTTCATCACTATTTTGATTAATATCTATAGAGGATAAACCTAAAGATTTATTTATTGTTGTTTTTTATTAATTATTTTATAATAAAAAAGGAGAGTTTGTATCTCTATATTAAAAAATAAATATATATATATATTTACATATATATTTATATATATATATTTATTTTTACTCTTCTTTTTCATTTTATTTTTCATTATTTGAATTTTTTACGAAAATTTATTTTAACAAATTTAATAAATTCAAAAAAAAAAAAAAAATTAATTTTTCTAAATTTTCTTCTTGTTATTTATCTGATAATTTTTCTAAGTTAATTTTTTTATTTTTGAAATCACTTTTTTAAATTAAAAGATTAATTTAATTCTATATTTAAATTATTTAGTTTTTTATATTTTATTTAATTTCTTTATTTATTTTATCATTTTATTATATTTGTATCAAATATTAGTTTTTTTAATTATCTAATTCTTTTTATATTTATTTCTTTTAACTTTCTTATATATTTAGTTTTTCATTATATTCTTAATCATTTATATTATTTTTTTTATTTTTTATAACCTTTCAAATTCTAAAAACAAAATTAAACTTTTTTACAATAATATTCTTATTTTTTCATCTTTTAATTTTATAAATTCTTCTATCTAATTATTAACTTATTATACTTTTTAATTATTATTTTATTTATTTTAAATATTAATTATATTATTTTAATTAATTTAAATATTCTTTTCTGGTTTTTATATATAATGATCATCTTATTATTTTTTATTATCGTGTTGTTATTGATTATTCTAATCTTATTATTAATTATATTCTTGAATTTATTGATTATTTTCTTCTTTTTCAAAATTAATATGATTTTAAGTTTTATTTTTTTCGAATTTCAATTAATGTATTAATCTTTATTATTCCAAAAACAATAGAAATTATTATTTAAAATAATCTTATTAAAATTGACATTTATTATCCAAAATTTAATTTTTTTATTTATTTTATTCTTAATTTTATAAGTAATCAATTTACTATTTAAATAAATTTAAAAGATTATCTTTTTTTAAATTTCCTAATTAAATTAAGAATTTGATTTTTGATTTTTTTTCTTTAAATTTTGAATTTTCGTATACATTTTTTTTAATAAAGAATCTTATTTTTCTAATTCATCCAAAGCTTTAGATAATTTAAAAGTTAAATTTTTAATTATCATGTTTTTATCATTTATTTATGTATTTTTAATATCTTCATTTTCATTTAATTTCTAATTAATGTCATATAATTCCATTTCATCTTCATATATTTTTAAATTTAAACTATTTATTTTAGAATTTAAATTTTCTATTTCTTTCTATAAATAGCTTATGTTTTCTTCTTATTTATCGTTATCGTTATTGTCATTTTCTTTTATTTTATTTTCTATTATTATATTGTCGATTTCTTCTATTATATTTTTATTTTGATTTAATTATTGTGGAATTTCTTGTATGATATTTATTTAATTTTCGTTATTTTTTTCTTTTATTATATTTTAATAATCTATTATTTTTAGTTCTTATTCTTTTATTTAATTTTTATATTCATTAATTAAATTTTATTATTATTATATTTAATATTATTAATTTTAATGTTCTTCTTTTATTTAATTATCATTGTTTAATATTAATTACTTTTCATTTTATTTTTGATATTCGTTAATTTTATTCTCATATTCTTTTAATTATATTTCTTATTTTTTAATTTAATTTTAATATTCTTTTATATTACTTTCATATTATTAAATATAATTATCCTTTATTTATTATTATTTATTATTTTGATTTTCTATATTTTTTTCTTATAATTAATTATCTTTTAGAAATTAAGATTTTTCGTATTTATATTTTTAAATTTTTTAATTTTATTATTAAATAGTATTTTTCATTGAAATTATTTCCTTTTAGGTTTCATCTTTTATTAATATTAATTTCTCATCATAATTATTTTATAATAAAATTATTTTTTGTTATTCTTTTTAAACTGATTCTTCTAAAGTTTTTATATTTTATTCTTTTTCAATTATTTTTTATTCTAAATGTTATTTAATATCTTCTAAATTTTAATTATTTTTAAATTTTATTCCAAACATATTATTTAGTCTTATTATTTTTATTAATATTATTATAAATTTTATATATTTTCTTCATTTTCTTTTATTTATTGATTTAATAGTAAATTTTTTTCTCTAAAATTTAAATTTTTTCCTGTAAAATAGAATTATTTTCTTTTAAAATTTTAAAATCTTCTATAGTTTAATTAACATTTTATTTTTGATTTAATTATATTAATAACTCCTTAATTTAATTTTAATTTAAAATATCTTATTATAAAAGAATTTCTTTTTAATTTTTTAATTATATTATCTCTTCATTAAATACTTATATATTATTTTAAATTTCTTTATTTTTTTAATTTTATTCATTTATAATATCCAATTATTAATTCATTTATAATATTTTATCATTTAATTCTTAATTGATTTACTTTATTAAATTATCTTATTCTTATATTTAATTATTTTATTTATTTAAATATGTCTTATTATTATTTAAATCGTTATTTATATCCAATATTAATTAATCCTTTTCATATATTTAATTATTTTATTACTTTATTTATAATATTTTTTCATTTAATTCTTTATTTATCTCCTATATTAAATTATCTTTCTAATATAATATTTAATCAGTTTCTTTATTTTTTTATTACAATTTATTGATTTTATCATTTAATTAATTATATTATTCTTATATAAAATGGTCTTTTTCATAAATTTGATTATCTTTTTCATAAATTTGATTAACTTTTTGATTTAATAATATATTTTTTTCATTAATTTCTTTATTTTTTTCATTTAATTCTTTATATTTTTCATTCAACTTTTTACTTTATTCAATAATCTAATTATTTTTATCATTAATAGAATTATTTTATAATATGATTTTATTTTCTAATTCAACAATTTTATTTTTGAAGAGTAAAATTTCTTCTTTTAATTTAATTAAAATTTAACTTTCATTTTCATTTTTATTTAAAGGAAGTTGATTATTATTTATTTCTTAAAAATTATTTTATTTTTATAAATTTTCCCTTTAAAATATTTAATTTTTTATTTCTTATTCTTTTTCTTAAACTTAATTAAACAATTAATTATTTTTTTCTTAAATAATTTATTTAAATTAACTTTAAATAATATCTAATTCTTCATTTTTTTTATTTAATTATTCTTAAAAAATTATATTTTCATTTTCTTTATTTTTTTTTTATATTTTTTATTTTTTTATTTATTCATCATTTTCTTATTCGTCGTCTTTTAAAAAATTATCTTAATTCGATTTTTATTAATTTAATATTTTTTCCATTTAACTTTCTTAAATTTCAATCTTATTCCTTTTTTCATTTATTTCATTTCTAAAATTATTATTTTCTTCTTAAATTTCTTTTATTATTCTTTCCTAATATTCCATATTTGTTTACATTTAATTAAATTCTTTTATTTTTTCTAAAAATTCTTTATTTTATTATTCATATTCTTTATTTCTTTATTCTAATACTTTATTTTTTATCTCTTATTCGTTTATTTTTTACACAAATTAAGCTTTTATTTCTTCTAATTCTTTATTATTTTAATTTAATTATTTATTATTTTAATGATTTTCTAATATATTTTTTTTCAAAACGATTTCTTATTAAAGTTCTTAACATAATTTTTCATATTTTTAATTATCAATATAAACGCCTTAAAGTTCCTATTATATTTTCGAAATAATTTCTCTCTAATTTTCTATAATATTCAAAAAATCTTCTTTTCCAGATTTTTCAAATGAATTTTTCCAATATTCCTCA